GCAGCTGCGAAGTCGGTATCCTTCAGATCGCTCCAAGTCGACCATGCAATCCTTGTGCAGCAGACAACGACGTCGTGGGCCAACGCAATCACGAGCAAAATCGACAGCAGACTACTACAGTACGGTGACTACTTCTGCACACCACCACACACCAGGATCGTGACAGACGGCGTGGTCGTATACGGAGGCTCCGACGTCGACGAATCAATGATGACGGGTGAGTTCAAGCCGAACGCGAAGGGACTCGACTCGGAAGTCTTCGCAGGCACCAACAATGGAGACGGCCAGCTCATCGTGAGCTTAACGAAGCTGCCTCATGAGAACTCGGTCCAGCAGATTGCCGCCCTGGTCGAAGACGCTGAATTGACGAAGCCGCGAGCACAAGCACTGGCTGATCGGGTGGCTGGTTGGTTCGTCCCTGCGATAGCTTCTATCGGGCTCACGGTCTTTCTTATCTGGTTATTTGTTGAGCGACACCACAGCGTAAAATCCTGGAGGGTACGGTGTCCACCCCGCGTACATTCAAAGTTCTCTAGCTAACTATTTTCCAGTGTGTATCCGCCAAGCTCTACTCCGCGGAGGCAGATTCAGATCAGCGTACTGACGTGTTAGCAGAAGCGCGGTACTCACAGCCATTACCTATGCCATCGCCACTCTCATCGTCTCATGTCCATGCGCCATCGGTCTTGCCGTACCCATGGTCGTCTTGATAGCAGGTGGTGTGGCTGCACGGCATGGCATTATCTTTCGGGACCCCCAGAAGCTCGAGATCGCACGCAACGTCACCGATGTCATCTTCGACAAGACCGGTACCATAACTACAGGAAGACTTGAGATCATTGGTCTCCCTATGCATCGCAACACGGACCACACACTCATGAAGGGGCTATTACTAGGCCTTGTGAAGGACATCAAGCACCCTGTATCCATCGCGATCGCCCAGTATCTGGAACGAGACATACTCGCCCACAAGAACTTCGAACCTCTTCAGGTCAACAACATCACCAGTATTCCTGGTAAAGGCGTCCAAGGCAATTGTGCGAAAACTGGGGTAGAGATTCGTGCAGGCAACGCGGAATGGCTTCACATCAACGTCATCGGACAAGGAAAAAACACAGCATGCTACTTCACCTACGGCGGCGATCTTCGCATGAGCTTCGAACTCCTGGATCAACCCCGGCCTGAAGCGATAATGGTGATCAAAGAACTCCACGCTCGAGGAATAAACGTACACATGCTCAGTGGCGACAATGACGGGGCTGTCAGCGACGTGGCGACAACCCTATACATCGACGAGGCGAGTACAAAGGCTCGATGCACACCCGAAGGAAAGATGCAGTACATCCGTGATCTCCAGGACTCGCGCAGGAAATCTATTGTCATGTTCCTTGGTGACGGAACGAACGACTCTGCAGCGCTCAAACAAGCCGACGTGGGCGTGCACCTCAATGATGGTTCCGACGTTGCAAAATCCGCGGCTGATGTTGTCCTCATAACGACGCGACTACACGACGTTCTCATCCTACTTGATATCTCACACGCGGCGTACCGACGCATTTGCTGGAACTTCAGTTGGTCGGCATTCTACAATTTCTTCGCCATCATCCTTGCTGCCGGCGCATTCGTCAAGCTCCAGGCGAACGTGAGGATTACACCGCAGTGGGCGGGCCTGGGCGAGCTCATCAGTGTCCTACCGGTGGTTCTTATCGCGTTCCAGATGCGCTTTCGCAACTATGGGAAACCGTACGGAGCGATGGAGAGGACGTATCAGAAGGTTGAGGCGCCGAAGCGCGAGCAGCGACGTAGTCGCCAGAGTGCTAGTTCGGCAAGTGCTGGGTGTTGTGAAATGCCCACGTCGACTTTGGCACATGTTGACGCTATCACGGGTATGAGTGAGAAGCGTGGGCTTGGGAAGGTGGCGTTTTGGCTTTCTTCGAGACGATGATTATTCTGTTTGTTTTGCGTTTGGAGTTTTGTTGGGGGTTTAGGGTAGATTGAAAGTGTGAAATTCTTTGTTTTTGTCTTGTCTTCATGCCTGTTCCTGCTGCTTTCTATGTGCACCCCACCCCTTATACCTTCAGGATGGGCTTTCGCAATGTAGATACGATGTTCATTGAAGGTGTAACTTCACAACATGTTCTTTCCAATTCGCCGGAACACCTTCTCCATCCATCAAACCATGGACATATGTGTCTCCAACGAGCGTGTAGTGACCCTTAGGCGCTTCTGGGACGGCTCGGAGGCAGAATGGCACGTTTCCTCCAAGCAAGATGGCAACAGAGTCACCTGGAAGCATCTCCGGCGGACCGACGCCCATATGGCCGTCAGTCGTGATAAAGAACCTCCGATCAAACCCCGATGTAAAGCAAGCCTCATAGAAGAAGCGATCGTCGCTAAGATCCTCTCCATGCAGACTTCCCGCGGCATCTGGATTGGTCGCTCGAGCCTGGCACCACGTCTGCAAGTTCCGTCCCAAGCGCGAGACGTTTGTGTTGCCGAATCGCTGTGATTTGTTTCCTCGAGGGGAGTCATTGGACGAAGCAGCGTGGTTCGACGGAAGCGGTTCCCAGCAGTCAGTCGTCAAGACACGCCAGAGCGCTTCTTCCAACGACTGATCTCCTAAAGCGCGAAAGACGTTTTCCTTATCTGCCTCGATCATGCCATAGCATGTTTCGAGGGTGGCGATGATGTTTTTCCATGTAAGTCGCTCCGTATGTAATATGTGTGAGACTTGTGAGATGGTCTGGCGTGGCTCGAAAGCGTTTACCGTGAGTACATCTTTCCGTCTCTCGATGTGGGCTGCCGTTCCACCCGCCGCGGCATACAGTGCTGAACGATGTAGTTTGAGTTGTGCAACTGCGTACTGCGTCGCTGTCTTTGGGCTGATTTCCACGACCCAAGACGGTATGTCTGATACACCGGCCATGGTTCTACCCATTAATGCACCCAACGAACGGGTACCGCGTATATCCCTGATAGTCGCTTGAATAAAGATTTCCTTCGGGGAGAGGCTGTAGTCAGGGATGATGGGCGGTGTACCTTGCCAGTCTGTTACAAGGCCTAGTACACCGAACACATTGTCTCTAATATTCGTCGCTTCGTGCAGGTGTACTAGACGCATAACTTGGCTCAGACACAGTCTTTTGCCTCGCTGTCTGAGCATTTGGAGGGCTACCGCGCCGGTGTGCACGGCGAATGATAATTGACTCCAAGCCAACCTGCCGTTCGTCGGTAGCGACAGGCTAAGGCTTCTACAACAGCCTTTAGAGTGTCTAGTTATCGACTGGACTGCCTCTATGAGTGTATTCCATGGCATGGTATTGTTGCAGTAAACCACCGTGGCCCGTCGAGCAAGCACCGTCTCTTGTACAACCCAGATTCGATACCACCACGGATTGGATATCCATGTCTTCGTAGCTCGAATGACTGCTGACCAGCTCTCCTTGCGAAGCAGCCGCCCGTTCTCTACAGTGAAGAAGGGGATTTCGCCTACGTGCTTGTCCATGCCACAGATTCGTATGTAAACAAAGAAGCCAAGTACGTCCTCTGCCTCTTTCTGCTCTTCTCTTCCCCCATCTCGGATCTTGCTCTGCTTGAAGTAGGCATCCACGGTCGTGGCGTCTCTTTCATCTCCAGTCCAGTCAACGGTGGCCGGTCGTTTGGAGGGCGCTCGCGGGCTGCATCCGTAACCGAGCCAGATGAACGTTTCTTCCGCCAAACTATAAATTTCGCCCATAAGCTGTACTTGTTCAGAACGCTCATTGAGGTCCGACTGGTTGATGCAGGCTGCATCTGCGTAGATGATCAAGGCCTCATCCGTTCTCCGTAATCGCTGCAGCCCATTACGCAGATTCTGGGTTATCTCCAGCGGGTTTCCATCGATCCTGATAGGTAACGTTATCGTTGGGTCGCCCCAAACATACGAGATCGCGTAGAATATCGGGTTGTCGTTCAGCGAGGTAGTCTCGAGGTGGCATTCGATGTCATCATTCCAGGCTCCTGGGTGGACATGGAGTAGACGTATTTCTTTCCGGGCCGCATCAAGCTGGGAATACATGCTGGGGTGCTGAACTTGCTAGCAGTTTGCGACGGCTTGTGTTGGATGCATGGCTCAACATTGTTACCTGGAGAGACTGCTGAACTTCGCGGGTTGCGCGTCGCATTCCTCTCATTTATCTCCCCCTATAATTAACGTCAACGGTGGCACGGACTGTTTGCTCCTTCCTGATGTTGTTGGCTGTGATGGCATCTGGATATCCGATTAGCTGGGAGCAGAGAAGCGAGCCAATGACCCGGGGGGCCTCGTGGGGCTGTGCTGGGCGGGAATAGGACCTGAAATTGGGGGCGGAAATCAATCTAATCATTCGAGCCAACAGAACCGACGCATTAGCGGAACAAGGTATATAATTTCATAACCGTCATAAGCATCATCGTTATATAGCCGCGTGGCCAACATCATCATGTGATCTTCTTTCATACATCTTCCATCTTTGGCTCAATCATCAGACAAAATCAGCCAAGTACCAAAGGAAAACACAGCAAGGAAAAGGTCATCATCGTAATATATGAGAGCAATTTCGTGAGCGCGAAAATGAAGAAGCCAACCCAGGATCAAGGGAAAGGTGTTTGCCGATCCGAAAAGCAATAAGAGGAATAGGTTTTTCGCTAAAAACGCTTCAATGCCGTCGCTATGCAGCCCCGCTGGGGAGGAAGAGCAAGATCAGGGTAAGGAAATTGGGCGTGGGTATGGTGGTCGTTACATAACCCAGCTCGTTTCGATGGGGGTAGGAACAAGGCGTCCGAGCCCGATAAGATATCACCGCAGTACTGGATAAGGATAAGCTCGTAGCAAGGCCGTAAGGGATGCAGAGTCGTAGGAATCGTGGTATCGCTGAGCTCGAGCTCTTCAAGTCTTTTGGTTCGATGCGGTCGTCGTAAGGTTTTGGTTTCGTTGTTGCTTGGTGTGGATCCCGTCGAGGGAAGCGAAGTCTATCGATATCTTACACCCTGTATCCCGCCTCTTGGAGACATCCTGAGCATCTCTCGTAAGCACGGACATATCCGCGACCGCAGTAGCATGCTGAGGTAGTTGATGGCGCGACAGAAGCCTTGCTGGGTCGTCGTCCTCCTGCCGCGGCTGCCTGGGCAGCATCAAGACCACAGTCGGAGCTCCTTGGGCTGGTGCCGCCACTGGTGGTACTGGAGCTGTCGTAGTCGTTGGATGAGGAAGTATTGCGTCGGCCCGCTCCTATCGGTGTTGGCAGTCCTTGTGCGCCCTGGCCGGGCCGTTGTCCTGGGTACATTCCATCGTTTACCGAGAAATTGCGGCAGATCATGTAGGCTCGGGTGGCGGCGGCATTCTTGGCGAGCTCTTCGCTCTCGTATTCAACATCCGTGGAGTACTCTCGGTTGTTTACTCTGACTGTTGATCCGTAACCGTAGCGTGTTCGGTAGGTTTGGAAAAGTGGGTCAGGCCAGTGGCGCCTTTGGCAAAGACCTATATCCGAGGGTCAGCAACCAGTACACATACACACGTTGAATCTGCTATCGTGCCGCCAAAGTCTTAGACATGGTCTTCCACCCCGTTGTGTGGGTCCCCTACACTAGACAGGGCTATCACCCATGAGTCTTGCACCAGTTGCCATGTCGTCGAGACCTCATTTGGCTCAACTAGATCCGGCTATGTGGTACCAACTGTCTAAAAAGAAAAGGAACAGTTCTAGCACTAACCTGTCAGGTACATAACGTAGAACATGTTGGAGGTGGTCGAAAAGGACTATTGACGTGTAATGGAGCGATTGGAACGACTGATGGCGCTTCGATGGTGAGCTGTCAGTCTGAGGGCAAGACTACTGCTGCGGAGTATTGCTGAACTGGCAAGCGTTCGTTGGTGGCGACGATAGTATCCGTGGCAGTGGTTGTACGACAGTAAATGCTTTTAGGGTGTGGGTGACAGTTGCCAATAAAGCATTGACAGCTGTACAAAAGAGATGAAAAGCGTTGATGTATGAAGAGCAAGGTAGAGGGAGCGGCTTGCAGTCAGTCGGACGGGGATGGGGGAAGCATATGTGCCTACTGTGGGATGGAGGAATATATTGCAGCAGGCGAGTGTAGCATGTATCCAAGCGCGTCTCGCCCACCAGTAAAAACGGAGGGGCAATTGGGCTTGTGGAAATGGATAATCTGCGGGTCTTGTTGCGGCTCTGAATGAGGGAGACCCATAGTATGTGCTGGCGAGAAGGTAGCCAACGGTAGAGGTTCCAGAATTTTAGCTAGTAAGAGACTCAAACCTCAAAAGGTACAGCCTGACCGGTTCGCTCTTGCCACCGTGCTGCACGCAGTAGCGCAGTGAAAAAACGGCTGGCGATCGGACACAATTGCTGTAACCCGTTTTCCCAAGGCTGGACATGTCTCGATCGGCATTGTGCAGGTTTAGACGCCTAGGATGGGCGCATAAACAACGAGGTGGCAGACGTGCATCCTAACAGCACTCTTTGCTCGTATCTCCCGGATGCACTGGGCCCACTAATGCAATATGCAAAGTGAGGGGAGAACGCAAATACGTCAGACTCTGCACCCTTTGTCAAGTGTACCGATACCCTGAAATCTTGGCAACAGAATGCGTGATATCGGCGTATGGTTTGGGAGGCAGGGTCTGAAAGGAATCAGAGACCAGACCAAACGTGCAGCAAAAAAATGGGACTGCTAATCGGCTAGGGTACCAACCGCCAGAGTCGCGACTGGAGAGGAGTTGGACACGATTGTGTGACTGCAAGACAATGCAAAGCATAGTGGCTCGAAGCGAGAACGCGTCACAACAGGCATAGCATGGAGCTACCCGACAGCCCCAGGGGCGAGCGAGACGAGTTGATTGATGCGTTCGAGGGTTCGAGGAGATACCTGGGGTTGGTGTTACCAGAAAGCATCAAGCGTCACTGCCAACGCATACATGCAGAAAGCACGGTCCTCTGAATATCGCTACTGGGAAACGCGCCTGCAGCTCGAATAGGGAAAGGGTCAACGGCTGTTAGCTGTAAGCCGTGTGCATGCAGGCATGAATTGGCATTGCGGAGACTGTCTGATGGCGCTCAAGCACGTTCGCGAGACGTAGTGGAGTACGGTTTGACAGGCGATGATTGACGAGGAGAGGACAGCTGGAGGGGCCAGGCGTTCTCGCGCACACGATCCCGGTCAATCGAGAGAGACAGAGATGAAGAGTTCACAGACCCTGGGATCCCCATGTTCAAGGCTGATGGTAGGGCATCAAGCAGTCCCCACTTTGCCGAAGTCAAGACATCGAAGATAGCAGGATGCCAAGCTCAGCACGAACGGGTCTGGAGCTTTGGGAGGAAATTTTCGAATTGACACAAAGGGATCATGCATCGGGCGGCTGCAGAGCGTACTTGACAATTGACCTGCCGCGAAGTGGATAGCAGCAGTACAAAGGTTGAGGGTGCACAGAGCAAGTCGTCGTGGAGCGGAAGCAAAATTCGGACGATTCGATAGGCCGGCGCAGTTCACGACAGGCAGCGGTGCATGGCTAGGTCCCAGGTCCCAGTAAGGGCCGCTTCTGTCTGGCGCCGATCCAAGATGGTGGTTGATACATGGAGCGGGACGATGGCGCTTGTGAATAGCGGCAACGAAGCGCAAGGAACAGCCACTGATATATTGGACAAAGAATAGCGTTTGAAGTCCAGACGAGCGCGTCCAAGGCCAGCAGAATCAGCGCGGAGATGAGTGAACGAGCTTCAGAACTATGTCGCACGCGCGGGAGATCTGTGGATGACGCGAGCGCGCCAGCACGGCCACCCGCCCCAAGCTGCAAAACAGGCGGTGAAGAAGCCAGCGCTGTCAACCATGCGCCCCTCTTTCTGCGCATCAATTCTTGACACTACGCATTAGCAAAGAAGACTGTTCTTTGACCTACTCGACCGCGTGAGAGGGCGGCCATTTGGACCGCAAAGTTGTCGGCCCTGGAGGCGTCCTGTCGTGGACATGTCGTCTTCGAATCGGCCTGATTCCATCAATAGGCTACTGAAGACCCACATGTTCGAGCGCTTTTCCAACCAAGAGCACCCTCACCCTCCTGTTCAGCCTCGCGCGGTGAGAGGTGGTGCTGCAGCCGGGTGTGGTTGCAGGGTAATCTAGAGGGGCCGGGTCTCGCGTCCATTACCGATGCTCGATGGAGGACACAACGCACCGTCCCGACCCTCCGAATCTCGACATTGCAGATTGCAGCCCCTCAGGGTCCATTCACCCTTACACAACTCGAGGATGCGGTAAAGGCTCTGGCCAGCTCTTTCCACGCTCCATGTGTGACGTCTAACAGCAGATGACTGCCATCCTCCACCGGCATCGGATAGCGGTGTCTGTCGTCTATTGTCAGTAGCATCAGTTACCCCACGATTCAAACGGACATTCCCTCTCTGGTGACACGTTTCAGACTATCGAGACAGGCATGGCGTGCGCATCGAGACTGTAAGCCTCGCCGTCTCGTAACAGACAGGCTACGTAATTGCTGTCAGCTCACAAACAGACCACCCGTCGTACAGGCGCCGTACGCGGGGTCGACGGCCAGACTACGGCGTCCGCAAAAAGCAAATGTAATTAGGCCGTAGATGTAGTATGTACTACGTCTTGAAAATACGCTGTGCAAAGCGTAGGGGAACCGACGTTGACGTTGACGTTTCGAATGGCTCTCCGCCTACTCCGGAGTCCGACAGAGTACCTAGATATACCAACTTGATAGCCTCATACACAATATACACACATTCATACAACGAGCTGAATCATACAAACCACTACTACGACTACCCTAAAATCATCAAAACCAAGAAACCGTCAAGATGCCCAAGATCGTCCGCCTCACTATGTTCAAGATCCCCGACCAGGACATGGTCAAAGAAGCCATCCAAATGTACAACACTCTCGCCCAAGATGCGAAAAAGGTACGTCGAAGCCCTTTCTTGACTCGCCAACATCCCCTCCAAGCCCTCCCATTCCCCTTCTAGATCTCCATACATACCCGCTCTCTCAGCCGAGTTAAGGCCAGCACATATCCATCGAACGTGCAGTCCATACCGCCCGCCCCCTGCACGACGGACCATCTCATCACGTCGGGACCCCAGATTTATTCTAGTCGCCCTCGGGCTATTTCCATCTTGCACCCTCGATAAGAAAAGAGCGGATAATGGCGTCAACCCTCCTCTTCGCGCGCGCGGAGCAATGTCCCTGGCGGGTAACCGCTGGGAATATTGCCGCGGCTAGGAGAAATGGGGTGGGGGTGACGAGGCTGCAGCAAGCGGGCGACACCAGCGAGCGCGCGGAAACAACTCCGAGTCACGACGCACATATCGGCCGTCTTGGATCCATTGAAGCCTCACGATGGACAGCCTGACGCTAGAGATATACCGACAGCCTCCGCACCGACTGACTTCCGAGGCTATCGTCGTCCGCCGTTTGTTGTTTGTTGCTGCTTATCGAGAGGATGCATGCTAACGTCATTGTGTTTTTGTGCAGGACGGCAAGACGTACATACAGCTTGCACAAGCCAATGCCACCTATGACGACCCGCGTAGTCAGGGCTACACGATGCTGGCGCGTTGCATATTCGAGTCTAAGGAGGATATGGACTACTACGACAACCAGGATGAGGCACATGCTAAGATCAAGGCGCACTTTAAGCCGAAGGTCAACTCGCCGCCGCTCGTCATCTACTCGGATATGGCATAGAGGGGCTGGGATGTGGGGTGTTGAGCGCTGTAGTGGAATACATGGAATCGAAAGAGTAACACATGGCAAACTTTGTTTTCTGTTGTGATGATGCCAGAAATGACGGAAGATAGCGCATATGCCTACGCAACCTTGGAAGTCTCTACGACAGCATCAGCCGAGTAGAGAAAGAAGAGTCATGCTCGGCCAGGAAAACGTATTGACAAAGCAAAGAACGTGATAACTAGGATCGATGGCATCAGACCTAGCTGCAGTCTCATCACTCGGCCCTTCTTTGTCTGGTCCAACATCTTTGTCTAAGACAACTCCGCTGATTTGCGTGCAAACTGAACAGTACGAGGCGCAGCTCTTCTATAGCCTGGCCTGATATCTCGGTTCAGACCAGGGCCCTGACTTACAGGCAGAATGACAGTCTCATATCTTTATCTCAGACGATCTTTGAGCAATGTCACCTACTAGGTACTACTGAGAACAAGTATCAAAAGAGTGAAACATCTGGAGGAGCCGGTGACCCAGCGCAGAGACAAAGACATTTACACAATGAATACTTCGTGCTGGCATACAAGCATCAACACTGGGAAACAATGTACAATCACCACAGATTCGCTTCTTTCATCAAAAGAAAGAGACGGCATCCCCATTGTTCAACATAGCCTACGTTGTACCGTAAGACCTGCCGTAGTCATCTCATACAGCTCTCGAGATCATACTTGAACCCATCTCCATCGCTATATCCTAAGTGAAGAAGCTGAACAACCCCATGGGCATAATATCTATTCCACCACAAATATCAATACCAGCACCAGCACCAGCACCATCCACATAACAAGCCCTGCAATCCTCCTTCTATCACAGATAAAGCACCCGCTGGAACTCCAGCACAGAAACCATGTCACAAAGAAGGCGTCAAGCACCATCCCTACCAGGCTTACCTAAGTATTCAACATCCTCCGAGTCCTCTTCCAGCTCAGAGGCGGAACCAGAAGACTACGAACCAAAGGCCAACCAAGGAGCAGTCACAACCCAAAAAGTAGCCCCAACCCAGAAAGTAGCCGTACCCCGATTCGGATCCGCAACCCAAAAAGTAGAGCCAAACCAAGAAACAGCCGCAGCGCCAGGATACGTGGGATACATCTGGTCACCGCCACCGGGCTCACCCACAGAGAAAGATGAAGACGAACCCGAACCCGAACTCGATCCACTCTCAGATGATATAAACTGGGATGACGACGAAGACCCACACGAGCCCGATGGAAAGGGCGAGGGGAACGGCGACGAAGAGCCCCAGACCACCGGCGTCGAAGCCCCGAACCCCATCACCATTCAGCTAAACCCCGTAGAGCGCATATTCAGAACGCCATCTTCGACGGGCACCGTATATTCGTTTCCAGACCCAGAACTGGCTGGAACAGACGCAGTAGCAGAAGTAGTAGACTCAGCAGCGTCCTCGCCGCTAGGTGCAAAAAGTCCTACTCCACCCCCTCCCTCTCCCGGCCCACCTGCAAACAAGCCGAAGGAAAGAGGTATGCCAACGGGTGTTGCTCCGAGGGCAGGACACCAACATGCAGAAACGGGCATGGAGGATGACGCGCCGGATGCTGGGGTAGCGCGCGCGGTAGCCGCAGCAAAGAAAAGGAAACGCGAGGAGGAAGAGAAGAATAAGCGCAAGGCGCCGCCGCGGAAGAAGACACGGTTTGCGTCACCGGAGGATGATGACGACGACTTATCGGATGCGCCGTCGAATCCCGAACCTCCTTCGCCAGTTGCGGTAGTTGAGACGGCGAAGAAGGGGAGGAAGACCAACAACGGGAAGAAGGAAGGCACAAAGCCGAAACCGGGTAAAGCGCCTCCCAAAAAACCGACGAAGAACACCCCGAAAGGCGTTAAGGGAAAGAAGGGTGAGGGTATGGAGAAAAAGAAGTGCACTGGGACAACGACTAAGGGCGAGCCGTGTAAGAACCAGGGGAATGTGAAGGAGGGAGATGACTATAACTGTGGGAAGCATAAGCCTAAGGAGTGAGAGAAGGTAGGTGATCGTAACGGTAATCAACGTGTAATTGTACGCAATCTTCAAATAGAAAGCTTTGTTTTCAGGTTTTTGGTATTCATACCTGCAGTACAGTACATGCACACATGATCTCCGTTTCCATCTCCATCTCCATCTTCATCCCCATTCTTCCCCGTTTCCTCTTGAGAAAAGGCAACATGCCGAGGCACAACCTTGCTTATATCCCATCGCTAAACCCAACCCAAAGCATCCATCCATCCATCCGTACCAAACCAGACGCTTTTTCGTATCGTCAACGCACTCCCCATGCTGAAGAGGGGAGATGTAGAGTGCTTGTAGAGACGCCTCCGTAGAAAATGCACAACTACTACCACGCAGTTCTATATGCCAGCCGGAGTGTATGCAGAAATATACAAGAAAGATACACGTTATTAAAAAAAAGTGTGTGTAGAAGATTTGCGTCGACGTGTCGTTCGACCGGGTATCTCGTGGGTGCGTTTACATGATAATCGAAGGAGCTGCATGGCGTTAGTTATTGAAATCCACATTGTGACATGTGAAGGGGAACTTACTGTCAACGTTCTGCTTGATAGACTTGTGCGGCAGAACTGAACCACCATTGACGTAAACCTCATCACCAATCGTAACATCATCACCAAGCACAGTCACGTTCTCGAGACGCGCCCACTTGCCCACGGTGCTGTTCCAGCCGACAATCGACGACTTGACCCAAGCGTGGTCCTTGACGCGGCTGTTCTTGAGCAGCACACAGCGCTGGAGACGCACACCGTCGCCGATGACAACATTAGGGCCGATGGTAACATTGGGACCAATGCGGCAGTTCTTTCCTATCTTGGCAGACTCGTCGATGAGCACGTTGCCGCCGTATACGTAGGGTTCCGACGCGGGGGTCAGCAGCTTGGAGTTCTTGCGCGCGAGCGAAGAGAGGTAGAGGCATGTTCCCGAGAGGAAGTCCTTGGGCTGACCGACGTCCATCCAGAAGCCCTCGAGGTCGAAGGAGTGGAGGAGGCCGTCCTTGACAATCGCAGGGAAAGTCTCTTGCTCGATGGATGTAGGGCGGAGCTCGATGCGCTTGAGCACGCTGGTGTTCATGATGTAGATACCGGCGTTGATGCGGTTGCCGACGAATTCGACGGGCTTCTCGACGAAACGGTCGATCTTGGAGGCGTGGCCGGGCTTGTGGACTACGACACCGTATTTGGAGGGCTCTTCGACCTTGGTGACAACAATGGTGCCCTCGTCGCCGTGTTGCTTGTGAAACTCAGCGAGCTGCTTGAAGGGGTAGTCGCAGGTGACGTCGGCGTTGAGGACGAAGAAGGGCGAGTCGTCCTTGCCCAGGACGTTCTCGGCAAGCTTAAGGGGACCGGCGGTGCCGAGGGGCTCGGTCTCGACGGAGAATGTGATGGTCACGTTGTATTGCTTCTCATACTGCGCAGCCGGTTATTCGTGTGCTCTGGTTTGCGGAGGGGTGGGTGTACTCACTGTCTTGAGCGCCTCGGCCATGATCTCGGGGCGGTAGTTGACGGCGAGGACAACATCTGTGACACCGGCAGCTGCGAGGGCCTCAATCTGGTGCTGGATCATGGGCTTGTTCGCGAACTCGACGAGCGGCTTGGGGTAGGTGAGGGTCTGCAATTGGCGTTAGCATGGCCGTTGCTTTTGGCATCGCGGGGCTCTCGAGCGAGCGCTGCGCGGGGACGAGGGCTTACGAGAGGCCTCAGACGGGTACCGAACCCTCCGACGAGAATGATGGCTGCATTGGCTGTTAGCTACATACAACAGAGTCGCGATTGGCCAGGCGTACCTTTCATATTGGCGGTGTTGTAGTTGTAGAGAGGCGCAGGTACTAGGAACTTGTCGCAGGAAGAACGGAGGAAAACAGTCAAGTCTTCAACACAGCACAAGCAGACAGTAATTGCCGGGTATACAAGAAGAAAAGAGTCACACGGTCGAGTGAAAGCGCAGGGCAAAGAGCAAGGGAGCTTGTTGGTGATGAGGCCAGCTGTAGGTTATATGCGTCGAAGCACCCGCGTCCACAATTAGCGGAGCTAATGCTTTCCCTGGAAATGTTCTAGCTCACACCGGCGCCGGTTCCCCTTTCTTTCACCCACCACATGCGCAACCCCCGAGTCCCGCTACGCCTCGTTAAACCAACTCCCTAACCGCTATCGTGATCGTGGCCTGGCCAGATGGGCCCTGTTCCTGATCGCTCGCCCTATCCGCTTCTAATTCGGGGAGTAGCTTCGTGTTGTGACTGCTAATAGGCTGAGTTCGTATTCCATCACGAGGGAACAATCAGCTCTTCTCATTTTTACTCGTTGTGTTCGTGACCGCTCCGTCTCCCTATTCAGAGCGAATTGCACCACGTGCCCGTGAAGCTGTGAATTGGGCGGCGTGGTCATCTCAGAATCTTCTGATCACGCCTCGGTCCCCACGTCGGGACCCTGAAAGTTATCCGCGCCCCTGGTACCGCCGACATGTGGCTAGCTGTGGCTGACCGAGAACACTACCAAGCCTTTGACAAACGCCAATGTATCTGTCACGTCGCTCATGGTGCACCTGATCAATCATCAATGCACGACGTTTTGGATCTCTGCAGATCCATGGTATCTCCACTCGGCCCCTCACAGCCACTCTCACGATGTTCGCTCCCGCTTCAATCAGCGTTTATGCGACGCGCGTCGTATGTTGGTGGCGAGATTGCCACGATCATCCGTCCAATGCGCTTACGCAGTTCTGAATACGGGGGATAAAATAGAACGGCGCTTCCTCCGTCTGCTCAGGTTTTCGCACTGGCGTGATGTATCCAGATCCCACAGCTGTTATACTTTCTACACCTACGATGTTCGCCAGCGGGACTCCCCTCGGCCATGGCAAACCACGGACGTGACATATTGGTACCAGACTGTCTTCTCCGCATCATCCGAACGCTGGTTCCGAGGACTGCCATTGAGAATATCATGGATATTCCGCGACAACATTTCATACCAGCCTTATATTACAGAACCCCCCTCCCAAACGCCCAAAATACGTACTATACACAGATTCACAAAGCATCTAACCTATTTCAGACCCCAGTCTGAATCAAAGGCGCATTCTCTTCTTCACACATCATCTCAACTCCTCTTCCGAAAGCTCATCGACCTCAACGCATCCCCCACACTACTTCCCCGCTTAAACATGCCCGGTCTCCTCCCGGGCCCATCCGTAGGACTCTGCTCGGGCGACAAATGCTGCCCTTGATTCCGCAGGCTCCCCGTCTTCGTCGGCGTCTTAACCAGCCCCTCACCAAACACAAACTCCTTTGCGAAAATCCAATTCCCACGTTCATACCTCCACAGATCCAAACCCACGGCACGACCCTCCTGGTTCCTCTCACTCAACTCCTGGCGTATCGTCGCGAACGCGCTGTCAACTTTCGTCTCTTCGTCGACTTTGTTCATGACGGTCCAATGGGGCCGGAAACCACCTGCGTCTTGCTCGCTGAGGAACTCAGACCATTGGGTTTGTAAGTCGGCGTGGACGTTCTTCATCTTTGTGTAGCCTGAGTCGACGTTAATGCCCACGCCTTTGCGCATCCGGAAGGGCTTGCCGGTTGAGACGTCGAAGGGCTGGATGCTCCCTGATACCTGTGCGAGCCCTTGTTCTAGCGCCTCCATGTGCGAATGTGGGAGTGCGTGGAAGAGCGTAAGATGCGCGCCTGTGCGGTTGAGGTGTTTAGGGAAGTATTGGTTTCGCATGTCGTCCATGGGTTTGGCTAGGGAATCTGTGAGTTTGAGTGTGAGAACGTAGACTTGTTCATCTTGACTCGCGGTGTTCGGTCTATGTTCTTCGCGGGTATGATGTCCTGATGGTCGACTTTCTTCCACGACATACGGCTCATTTTGAGCTTGCTTAGGACTGGTCTTGCCTTCCTTCTTGGTAGACCAGCCACGGAAACTGGTTTTGGCACGGATTCCTGCGCCGGGGCGTTGAGGTTTCTTGGTCTGCTCTTTTTGTTGTGCTTGCGTTGCTTCAAAGGATGCGCGTAGATCTGGGTCTGAACAGGCTCGGGCTTGGATTTGAGGCTGCCGAACCCCGCCGTTCGGTGTGCTGACAGCGGCTGCGTACGTGACTGCCATTGTGCTGAATCGTGGTGAAGTTGCTGATGTGATCCCGTTAGACGGTGATGATGACAAAGATTGACCCAGCTGCCTGAGGACAGCAATCCTCATCGAAAACGGGAACGTGGCTGGTGATGTGAGTACTTTCATGAGCTGCCCCTTGAAATGTTGTACGGAACTTCGGAAGATCACATACGTCACTCGACGGCCACTAGCGATGCGCCCGCGCTATGTGGAGATGCCTCAAGCTATCGCTTTTAGCTTTATAGGACGGGAGTACCCCAAACCTCGTGATTTGAGGTGGAGATGCATTGAGTCGTAGGTTTCGAAGTATTGTATCGCAGTATAATTTAGTATATGTAGCAGGTCAGAGTGTTCAACCGCCATAATGTATGCTTGCTCGCATTCTGAGACCCACAGCTCTCGCTTCTACAACGGCCAGCTGCCTGCAGTCTATGTGGAACTGTCCAAGGTATCAAAAACTCCCAAACTTCACGGCCTAAGACACCATATCTGAGCAACATAGGTCCCTAGATCAGCGTCTGCTGGTGGTGCGCCATCTTCCAATCGCCTGTAACGCCCTCTGAAGCACCTTCCAGCACCCATGCGCTCGAGCAGATGGCCCTGAACGTCTCGCTGTCCCTTGTCGCCTCTACGCGGTAGTAGATGAGCGCGCTGTCCTTGCCCAGTATAACGACTTCATCGTGGCTGAGTTTGTATGACTTCCAGGGCTGGAAGTCGGAACCCTGAAGCATATCGTGGACTGTCGGGGAAGATACGGAGGTGAGGATGAGGTTGCTCGGGAAGATCATGACGGGATTGCTGGAGAGAAGCGGGACGAGTTCGGCGCCAGAGCTGCATAGCGCTGCCCAGGCTTTGTGTTCGAGCGAGCATATCGCAGCGGTCAAAGACGGGTTCGTGAGCGTCGGTGTCGTCATAGTGATTTCGAATGTCGCGATGAATGGAACTGGTATCGGGTGAAGTGTTCGCGGTTCCTAAGTTACTGCGGTGTTGCGATGGTGAGCCGGCCAAGATGATGGCGCCACGTTCAAGGCAGAGACCTACCCCGCGACGCCATTGTGACATCACATCTCTAATTGTCGATGTTTGCCGGCGTTTTCGATACTTACCGTCGATATTGTCGGTATTGTTGTGTCGAGATGATGCGACGTTGTCCGAAACAGTCTCGCGGTTATGCGCTGTCGCATCTCGACATTGAATTGGTCTACCAGCCAAAAGCGCGCCTTCACGGAGAGGAAGGTTGCGCGCACAGGGCCTACGCGATGGCCGCGCAACAGTCTTGCATGGCCGAAATCTTCTCTATGCGATTTCAAGCTTGCGAGACGATGCTCGCCACTTCGCAGCCAGGAAGGTGAATCGCTCGGCGGACCCATGCCGGGTATGCGGGGTGCTGCGAGTAAGCGGGTCCGTAATCGCAACGTCGTATCGCGCATCCATACTTCGGTGTCCCATGCCGGCCTCTGCCCACGCGATAGGTGAAGACTCGGGATGCAGAGTTTGATCAAGATCTGGATGGCGAGTGTCATGGACTGTCTTCGGCCGTGGAGGCGCCGGTGAGGACCGCAGAGGCAAGGGCGCAGCTGCCTTGGTGGCGTCTACGTCACATGTCGGGCGCATGCTGGTCCAGGCTCCAGGCGATAACGGGCGGTGGGCCAGCGGGGAACCTGCGCGGTGTAGCAGTGAAGGGCGGCCACGACGGTGATGGAGCACAGTGAGGAGGTATCAGACAATGGACTAGGTACCGTCGTAAAGAGACAAGCCGAGTGATGGCAAACAGCGAGGTCAAGTAATGGCCAGTTGCCTGCGGTGTGCGTGGAAGCAGCCGGAATGTTCCCGTGCGCAGCTGCTGATTGGCGCACGGGCTCTCGCCGCATCATTACTCACTCACTGCCTCAGCCTGCCTGCATATAAACCAGCCTCTCCCCTCTCTTCCTCCTTCTCACACCACTCTCACACTCCTGCAGCCCACTCATAAGCTGTTCTACCCAACCAACACCTCATCCACACCGAGACACAGCACACCGCAAACATGCAGATCTTCGTAAAGACCCGTAAGTAGTCACCGCCACCGCCATGTCTCTGCGCCTCAGCTGCTAACACCCTCACAGTCACCGGCAAGACCATCACGCTCGAAGTCGAGAGCTCCGACACTATCGACAATGTCAAGAGCAAGATCCAGGACAAGGAGGGCATTCCCCCGGACCAACAGCGCTTGATCTTCGCCGGCAAGCAGCTTGAGGATGGTCGCACCTTGTCCGACTACAACATCCAGAAGGAATCGACCCTGCATCTCGTCCTGCGCCTTCGTGGAGGTATGCAGATCTTCGTCAAGACCCGTAAGTTGCCACATCGCCGCTCATAACCAAACACCCTTGCTAACTCTCTCCAGTCACCGGCAAGACCATCACCCTTGAGGTTGAGTCATCCGACACTATCGACAACGTCAAGTCGAAGATCCAAGACAAGGAGGGCATCCCTCCGGATCAACAGCGCCTTATCTTCGCCGGGAAGCAACTCGAGGATGGCCGCACCCTGTCCGACTACAACATTCAGAAGGAGTCCACCCTGCATCTCGTCCTGCGCCTGCGCGGTGGTATGCAAATCTTCGTCAAGACCCTGACCGGAAAGACCATTACCCTTGAGGTGGAATCCAGCGACACCATTGACAACGTCAAGTCGAAGATTCAGGACAAGGAGGGTATCCCTCCGGATCAGCAGCGTCTTATCTTCGCTGGTAAGCAGCTGGAAGACGGCCGTACTCTCTCCGATTACAACATCCAAAAGGAGTCCACGCTTCACTTGGTGCTTCGTCTCCGTGGTGGTATGCAGATCTTCGTCAAGACTCTTACTGGAAAGACCATCACATTGGAAGTCGAGTCAAGCGATACGATTGACAACGTAAAGTCCAAGATTCAGGACAAGGAGGGTATTCCTCCTGACCAACAGCGTCTCATCTTCGCTGGTAAGCAGTTGGAAGACGGCCGGACGCTCTCAGACTACAACATCCAGAAGGAGTCTACTCTCCACTTGGTGCTCCGTCTGCGTGGCGGACAGTAAGTGCGATGATGGTTGACGGTTCACGATGATATCTGGGACATGGCGTTCATGGGATGATCTGCCTGCGGGAGATCTGGTCTTATTCATAGTTTACACGACGGCTGTTAAAGCCTGAACAATGCATGAAGCATGCCTACGGGCGCGAGAGTATCTCAACCATCTGCGTTCTTACCTCTGTGACTTGACTTTCACTTTTGCCGCCTCTCGGGTTCACTTCCATCTTCCGTGCACCGTCGGTTTTGCTGTCGCCATCTTGGTACTCAGTGCAATACCAACGGCTCCATTGCGACGCCGAGAGCATGCGCTGCTGTCACGACGCTCATGTACCGCGGCTTCTTTCCGTTGACCCCACTTCAACTGACGCCATTGCCCTATCTCCGGCTAACTCCATGAATTATGGTGGCACGTCACCAGCAGTTCCATAGCTTCACGGAGGAGGAACCACCTTTGGACCCATTTTACAGCTCCGGAGGTCTGATCTGACTAAACCTGCGCACTGTCTGCGGTCTTTCCAGCAATCCCCGCCACCATCTCCGCGACAAACACCAATATAAGGCTATCACCAGCCCCTCCGTACGCGAAAACAGCTCCAGAGCAACACACTACGAACGACACAGTCTCCAACGGCACAAGCAATCGCAACAATGGCAGACCAGAAGATGCAATACGTAAAGTACGGATACTTCCATTGCTGGGCCAAGGACCAGCCACGGCAATAACAACGCTGACTGGAGTACAGCCTGGGCAAGTCCGGCCTCAAGGTGTCAAAAGTCATCCTGGGCGCCATGAGCTTCGGTAGTTCTAAGTGGCAGCCGTGGGTCCTGGACGAAGCCGAGAGCTTGCCGCTTCTCGAGCATGCATACAAGAGCGGTATCAACACCTGGGATACTGTAAGTCCACACAAGCTTCATCCTCACACCACCAAGACGCCGACAAAGCTGTCGGAGATCCAGAGCTAACATGCGACAGGCTGATATCTACTCCCACGGCCACTCCGAGAAGATCATCGCAAAGGCGTTGAAGCAATACAACATCCCGCGCAACAAAGTCGTCCTCCTCTCTAAATGCTACTTCGGCGTCGTCGAGGAAGACCCCAGTCTCGGCATCGCCTCCGTATCCACCAACGACGGGGATATGGTCAACCAAGTCGGCCTCAGCCGCAAGCACATCTTCGATGCAGTCGAAAAGAGCGTCGAACGCCTCGGCACCTACATCGACGTGCTTCAGATCCATCGGTTGGACCGCGGTACGCCCCGAGAAGAGATCATGAAAGCCCTCAACGACGTGATCGAACGGGGATGGGTTCGTTATATAGGCGCGTCTTCAATGGCAGCGTGGGAGTTCCAGACGCTTCAAAACATCGCCGACCGTAACGGCTGGCACAAGTTCATATCCATGCAGAACTACTACAACCTCATCTACCGCGAGGAGGAGCGCGAGATGATTCCATACTGCCTGGACACCGGAGTCGGCCTCATCCCTTGGTCCCCGATCGCTCGTGGGGCTCTCACTCGGCCTTGGAGCGACCGCTCCTCCAAGCGCGCTGAGACGGACAAGTTCCTTGAGATGCTTGTGCACGGTCGCGAAGATGCCATTGACAAGAAGATCATAGAGCGTGTGGAAGAGGTGGCGAAGAAAAACAACGTTAGCATGGCGTGTATAGCGACCGCGTGGACGATTAAGAAGGGGGTTTGCCCCATTATTGGTTTGAGCTCCAAGGAGAGGATCGATGAGACTGTACGCAACAGCAACTTCAATCTCAGTGATGAGGATGCGAAGTATCTGGAGGAGGTTTATGTCCCGAAGGCCAGGCAGGGCTTTTAGATGATGGTGTTAGATATCTTGGTTCAAGGGAATCGCCATGTAGTCACCATCGATAGGTCTATCAGCTTGACCCCGTTCAAGGAAGGAAATAAACATGTAGAAGTCTACAATGCTTTACAGTTTGGTCCACATTTATGGTTGCCTCGATTTAGCCTGTGAAGCACCTGTCCTGTTACTCCTTTGCACGCGGTAGCTCTTCAGGATGTGAGAGTTGGTTGTATCAAAGTATGAGCAACGATGCCTCAATATCGCCCAACATTTCTGCCAACGTCACTTTTACCCATAGCCTGATCGGGAACTTCCACTCATGAGGACTTAGTATCTTTCATTCATTCACGATCTGCTCAACAGCTTCAGTCCCAAGTTCTCAGCATCAACAGAAACGAACATCACAATCTGTCTCCGTCTCTATGTCCATTTTCGACGAACCGACACACCGACCCTGCATACCCTCGCTCAACGATGTAAAAAGCAGCTTCAATCCCCCGTTCAACGACATCAAAAGCAACCCCAATTCCCCCAAGCTTCCCCAACACCATCCCATCTCCATCCCCATCGGCATTACAAATCCCATATCTAACTGCCCTCACCTGACCTACCCAGGTACTCGCCCTACCTACCACACCGCGTTCGCGCCACTAGTTCACCACCGGTCTCCCACTACACCATGGCCAATCATCTCCCACCGCTAACTCATCTCGAGACGAGCCCCTCGGAAAACCGTTGAGACCAATGTATGTACCAGGTACATCCGGAGTGCGTACATGATACATTACCTTGCATTGCGCCACCACGCCGGTCTGGCGGGCGCTGTTTGTACAACGCATCAGTACGTTGCTTTTTTCTCGAGCTGGGGGCTGTAGGGCTAGCCCCACAAGTGGCGAGGTTTCTAGCTGCTTCTAGGGCAAAAGTTGGTGTCTGGTAGATGGAAGTTTGGGAAATTGGGGTTCGGGGGGTTTGTGGTAGCTGGATACGAGGAATTTGGTATGGGTGGGTAGAAAAGGCGCAGGGAAAACTCCCTTCTAGAATCTTAGAC